AATTAATAACTTAATTATAAACCCTTTATGAATCCTTTATAAGGGTAGTCTTAGTGTAAAGTGGTACCGAAATTGGAATAAGAAAAGCTCTTCTCCACACATGACTTGTACATTTAAACATGAAAATGCTTTGGTTCGGAGCCTCTCGATTCAAGACCTTGTTTGAAAAGTGTCAACTGAGGACTCCATTCAGGTTTATTTCTGTATGAAGCACCATAATTTGCATCATTCTGGTGTAATCATGTCCTAAAAGAAGACACCACTTTTGTCAAATTACTGGATATCTCCTTTTGGAAGGAATTCCTTCAGCTGTGATTTGTCAATGTAAACAAGTTGAAATGTGGTAATTCCCTTGTCATGCAAATTAAAAGAAGAAAAAAAAAAAAAGGGGGAAGCGTGCTCATTGACTCGCGAAATGATTTGTGTTGTTTGTCGGGAGGGTCTTGTGTTCTTGCCCTGGGAAACTTCTCATAGTCATTCTTTATTTTGTCTGTTTCCAATTCAGCTCCAATTGCCTGGAATCACTCAGGGAAACACACAAACACAAACACACACACTGTCAGAGACTAAAAAACGCCCTGCGTCTTCATCCTGGCCCGTACAGGTTCATATCCAGCACCTCATCACCGACGTGTCACAATGCATCACATCTGGCCGATAAAACAACCTTAAACTCTCTCTCCTCTTCCTGTCATTCTGCCTCGGACTCTGCCTTCCTCCTCCCTCGAAAAGGACCTGAGCTCAGGACCCAGGAGGCCTCTGATCAGATGTTAGCTCATATCAGGCTGGAGGATTCACAGTAAAGAGTCAGATGAGAGGAGAGCTTCTTATTTGAGATGGATAAGATGTGTACTGTTGGGCATTCACTTGAAGGATAGGAAAGAGAAGGAATGGAGGAGGGAGGGGGAGAGCAAAGAGACAGGGTATTAGCACTTTGTTGAGTGGAGAAGCATTGTTTGGCCCCTTGGCACACACACACACAAATAAGCAACTCTCACACACACATGCATCCACAGAGCACCAATGTTTATTTAAGCTTTTGATAAAGAGATTAGCCCCATCATCCTACGCTCTTAAGCTAGCCGAGGGGGTCCGTGTTCAGGAAATCCTGGCTTTCCTGACACATGGGCTTATAGGGGAACCTGGCTCAAGCAACACTTATATGATATTAATACAATTCCTTGTGGTCAGATTAACATGATTCGGAGGGCAGTTTGGTCGGATCATTCAGTGACGAGGGAAAAAGAGACGGTGGACAGAAACTTAGTAAGATGGAAACAGAACAAGGAGGCGGAGCAGTTGTGCCAGCTGGACTGTTTTTTCTTTTTTTCTTTATTATTAGCCCTATCAGAGTGGTTGGAGTCCAGCTTAAAGCTACAAACAGCAGAGTGCTAATTTTAGCCTCCAAAGAGGATAAGGATAAATAGCTTGCTGCCAGTTTGCCATATGGTCCCCGGCCGATTATATTGTGTCAGGAATATATCCACCCCCACCCCCTTTCCCCACCCAAATATATGCACTTATACACACAAACACACACATGTCTATTGTTTAAGCATTACTGATCCCAAAGGATTGTTTTCAATTGGCGTGATTTGGGAAATATGAAGAAACAAATGTTCTTATTTAACACATTTAAGTCTGTGAGGGTGCAACTATTCCTATTCATTGTTTTTTATAGTTCATCTCTTTGTACTGTAGGAAAATAGTAAGTATCATTTTCAGACAGGAAGTTGTTGTTGTGGCATGGCGGCCTCAACCAGCCGCCTTTTCTTAATACACTATAGCTTCCAGCTGCAAGGTAACATTTGGCCTCTTCTGTAATCTCCTGCAACTCGGTTTATATTCTCTCTTGTAAATGTGAGCCCCCGTCGAAGAATAAAAATGAGACTCTCGCCTTCGCTCCCCTCCATCAACACACATGCATATGTTCACATGTAAATGCAACACACACTCACACAGCCACTCTCCATTATTCTCTCACTCTCTCTACCTCAAATTGAAATAATTCAATTTATGGACACAGTTCCAGACCTCCCTGGCTAAGACCATTATGCATGGAGCCCCCCCCCTTTTATAACAAAAGAACGGGAGAATTTACCAGCCGGCTCTCCAAACGACACCCACACAAAGCCAATTTCATGCCCGGAAAACACCAGCAGTAGCGCCATTTTTGGTCAAAACCAGCATCCCTGGGGACTCTTTTTTAAATCTTTGAATATGGGTCGATGCTACTTTAATTTTTCTTAAGGCTTATTTTAGAACCCCGATATGACACATGCAAGTCCCTTTACTTCTAACATTCAAACCTGGCCATTATACTGTTGTTTCAAAGTAAATCAACAATATTCAAATAGTCTGTTTCAGCGCAGGTGATAATTAAAAGCATGACATGTATCACACAAGGTGACTGCGCATGTTTTAAACACAGGTACTCTGTGAAGCAGGAGGCTAGTAGTAAGGGATGGATTTAATGTCTGTCGACTGGACCAAAGCTTGACCCTCAGCTAACCCAGACCAAACATGCTGCCCCCTGAGGCCCCCTCCTCTTGCTCTGTTTGACATGGATACCTGCTATAGGGATTTGACTGAGAGATAAAGACCTCTGCAACATTTTCTAAGAGCTTACAGAGAGAGAGGAAAGAGAGGGCTGGATAACAAATACCTGTAGGTAAACACAGAGCAGCAGGGTGGGCCAGAGGGCAGCATCGGCGTTTACTTTGTGTGTTTGCAAAGCAACACTATAGGCATGCCACTCGCCGCACACACACTCATGAAACACACACATTCGGATGTAACCCGATTCTTGCTCCGAGCCAAAGAGATGAGCAGCGATCGGGGGCTGAGATTCTCACTAGTGATAACCTTTTGAGTGAGTGTTAAAAAACACACACCAACACACACACACACTGGTGATATATTGTATACGCCATCTCCCCTGGGCAGCTTCAGGTCTTTGTTCCATTGAGATTCTCTTTAAACAGAGAGGTCATACTTTTACAGGAAGTCACCCCCAGTGAGGGCTGCCTCTTTCAGGAAGTGACTTGGTGGGACTGTGTGGCGAGCGCGCCGGTGTCCATGGGGGGCATATCACTACCGTCCACATGGGCCCATGCTCCACAGGAAATAGGCCCGCTGTAAACCCACTCACTTCCTCTTCCTCTGCCCCTGTCTCGCAAGCCTTATCGGTGCTGCGTATGGGGCGACTGATAGGACTACAAAATCCCCCACAACCCCTACAACACCACATCCTGTGCCTATCAAGGACACATTGAGAAGGAGGAGGAAGTGAGGAAGCAGCATCACTTTGGAGAAAGTTCATTTTATTCTTCAGTTATGGAGATATCCGAAGTGTGGATCCAGAGTCTGAAACACAATTGAGCGTACTTGTTTACTCATTGAAAATCAGCTAAGACCCTGACATCGTAATGCCCCAGCTCAACAACCGAACATATTTAAATAGAGTAGGTTGTTGCTCTGATAATGACTTATCCTGTTTTCCTACCACCCCTTCAGAAACCTGAGCTTGTGGGTGCGACCATATTAAACTCCTTCATGGAACTAAAACCTTCTGTTATTCCAAAAAGAAACTCACTGGAAGCTAATGCGCTATTATTAGCCTGTGTCACCGCAGGCCGGGTTGGCGTGCCTGCATTATCTAACATACTGCAGTTTAACTGGCGCTGATAGGCTACCATGAGTGGGAAAATCCTTGTGTATTAAAAGTGTTTATCAGAGTGTGTGTCATTCAGATATAGTAGACGTGGAAAGAGAGCTGCTCTGGAAATAAAAACAGGGTGACTTGAGTTTGGTTATTGGAACTATACAACCCTTACACAAAGGCATGATTACAGACTGGTTGTTGGTACTGAAATGATACATGTCCACTTAACACTTAAGTTTATTTTTAGTGATTGCTTTGATGAGTTGGTTGAAGACATAATTCAGGGATATTTGGATAATTTATTAAAGGGGGGTAAATATAGTTTTCATGTGGTGAAAACATGTATTTTTAGTGGATGTTAGTTGTGACAATGTGTGTTTCATACTTTAGTTTATCTGAAGGTTCTCTCTTTTGTTCCATGTCCCCATTGAAGGACTTTTGAACGCCCTTCAGCACATCAGCTGACTTTTTGGAAAGGACCGCCGTACCATTGTGCTGTTAAGTGCTCTTAGCTTTTGTTATAGTCCTTGTCCTCTCTGCCATCCCTTCCCCCCTTCCCCCATAGTCCATTTGACTCCCTCTCCCTCTCTGTGTGTTGGTGGTGGAGAGTTTGACTGAAGCTCGGTGAGTCGAAGGTGTCAAAAGCCATCTGAGAGGCAGCGAAACAATTGAGAGAGTGAGAGTCAAGAGTGAGAAAAGCCGCAAAAGAGGCACGATTTCAGGATTCTTACCATCTTGTGTGTTTGTGTGTGTGTGTGTGTGTGTGTGTGTGTGTAAGGCTGTTTGTGTGTGAGTGTGTGTCTGAGGACTTCCCTTCACTGAGGCGGAGAATCTGTGGGCCCCCCTCACAAGTGCTCCCGTTTGAACCGAGTCTGGCCTTCTATCTTCAGGTTAGAAAAAAAGAAAGCGGCAACACAAAGGCAAGAAGGAAAAAATCAATAGTTACACAGCAAAAGTGCTCGACATGAAAGGGTGAATTCTTCGCCTTACACTTTCATTTTAGCGTGTTCCGTCCGTCTCCCTCTCCCTTATTCTTTCTCTCTTGACTGATCTGGAGGTTGGAATGAAAGGCAGTGTGTGTGTGTGTGTGTGTGTGTGTGTGTGTGTGTGTGTGTGTGTGTGTGTGTGTGTGTGCGTGGAGGCATACTGCAGTTTAATGTCGTGGCGGTGCCTTGCGCTTCAGGCAGTTTCCAGCGTGTCAGGCAGCCTGTGGTGATGACCCTTTACGGGGAAATGGCACAGAGAGAGCAGTCACATTTACACTGACATTTTTGCCATCACCTATGGCTATGTCAACAGGCCTGAACCCCCCCCCCCCCCACCTCGCTTATCTCTCTCAGCCGACTTGGTTGGGCGTCAGCCATAACACAGAGAAAAACTGAATAAAAGATCAGAACAAATATCATAAAAACAGGTCTGATAGACAATATTTTGTAAAAGGTCAGGAATTTGTCATGCATGTCAAGAAAAGGGTTCTAAAACAGTGCCAATACCCTGAAAAACTTCCCTGGGACTAATGAAGGTATCTAAATTGCTAGTTTAAATAAATGTAGAAGGATCGTTTTTATGTATCGACTAATTGGTCACCTGTACACACGTTAATATGAAATACATGGGAAAGCATGCACCAATGTCAACTAACATTCCATTTGAATACTAACAACAATGCACTTAATCCATTTCAGCAAAAGCCACTTGAATATCACAGACCTGGAGTTTAGCGACTTTTAATTAACTCATACCTTGGATGTTTTTTCTCTCCTGTGTTGTTGGTTAAACACAATCCCTGTGTCTGGTTTCCTGATCTCCTCCTCATCAGATCACCACAAATGAAATAATTGCTCCTAACTTGGCTCGCATTCTCACAACAAGACGTCTCCAGTGGGCTTTAATTACAAATAACCTCTGTAAATGCCTCACCAGTTACTGCCATTATTGAATCTGTCAGCGTTGATCCACAAAACTGTCATCATTTAAAGTAACCCGCTTTGTTATTGCAAAGCACTCGTTGTTTACTGTAATTACTTCAATGGAATTGTGTTTGATTACAGGAAGCAATTACTTATCTCTCTCTTGATTGTTTACCTCGAAAGCCTTATTTCTTTCTATTGTAATTATGACAACTTTCCTGTCTATTTATTCATTATGTTGTATGTTCTACAAAGATGGATCTGTCCCTCGGAGTGATCCAATGTGTTGGCTGAAGTTATGTCCAAAGATCTGAAAATAGTGGAGTGTCTTTCTGGCAAAGGCAGGAAGGGAAGTCTAGACTAGCCGTATTGTTTTGCCGACAGCGCATGTCATTATCCGCTGAGTAGTCGAGGGGATTTCTCTGTGTCTCTCCTCCTCCGCGGGAATAAAAGGGAGGCGAAACAGCATTGGTCACAGAGAGTGTTTTGTATTGAAGTAAGTAGTGTGTGTGTTGGTTTAGAATACTTTGCTAGTCATTATTGGAAAGTTGCCTCGTGGTAGATCCTAACAAACGGGTGCATGTGAGTGTGTTCAAGTGTCTGTTTTCCGTGAGGTAAAGGGGAAAAGACGCTTTTGAAAAAATGTGCCCCTACTTGGGACTTGTATTGCAAGGAATTCCTGCATGTTCAGAATATTTGGAGGTGGGAGGGGCCTCCAGAGCCATGCAAAGGGAACCCCCCACTGCCTGCAACCCCCCTGTACTCCCCCTCCCCAAGTCTAGAGCTTATGAATGGCCTGAATACAATAAACGCCACTTTTTTCTTCCCTCCCTCCCTCCCTCTTGCGAGCCCTTCTTTACCTCTCTGAGGATTTCTGGGAATGTAATATGTGTGTATGTGTTTGAGACTGGGTGTGTTTGTGTGTGAGTGCCACAGACAAAAAACAGAGTGAGAAGGAGAGCACTTTAGTGAATGTACGTCAGCATGCGTGTGTGAGCTTTTTGTATCATGTTTAGAATGTGTGTATGCATGAATTTCTCGCCTGCCAATATGAGATGTGTGTATCCCATGTGGAACAGGATAGCTGGTCCCTGAGGCCTGGGCCTTGCCTGGGCAGCCAACCCAGGGTCATGTGAGCTTTCTGGGGTGTGAAACTCTAGGAGTGGCCCATTGAGGGATCAGCTCCAGGTCACTCGCGCTCGCAGCGAAAGACACACTCTCTTGCAACAAATAGCCTTTAGAATAAACGCGCTGTCATAAACTCAAAAGACCTGTCTGCATTCATTCCCCCTCTGAGTCCATCCACAGGCTATAAAAGCTTGCAAAAACATCTCTCAGTATCCTCCGAAAACCATCTGTGAATGATTCCTCACACGGGATCCCTCCCATGACATCTGGCATAAAGCTAATATTCATAACCCTTATTCCTCAACCCAGCAGTGCCTCTATGAAGACAAAATGATTAGAAAGCTAAATGTCATTATTCTCTCGCGTTTGTGCTTGAAGCGGCCTGTCTGACATGATCGCAGTTCGCAGATGACTGACTGGTGAATCCCAGGCTGTTAATTTGCCAGGCAGCAGAAAAATGGCTGACACCTCAGAATGGCACATGTGCCCGTGCAGAGGGGGCAGGTAGTACCAATCTTTGTCTTACGCTGAGAGATGGTTCATAATCAGATCATAACAGATTAGCCTAGATACTGCTTGATAATGTCAGGGTATGCCTTGAGACAGAGGGATGTAGAGAAGTGATAAAGACACAGGAAAGGAATAAAAGGAGACAGAAAGCATCATTAGCACTCAACAGTTGAAGAGGCAGGTTAGAAATGTCATGAAGAAATGAAACAATGTTAACCTATTGTTCCTTCATATTTAATAGTGCAATATCCTTTACCCATGAAATATCATTGATTTAGAAGGAAATAAAACATCAAATCTGGTGGATAACAATAACTTATCTTGCATGCAAGCCAAATTTCAGACCTGATCTGACAAATGAAGTAATATCGTATCGTATCGTATCACTCCCTAACCCTGCAAATATCCTCCATCCCCACACTTCAACACACAGGGAGGAAGTGGAGAAAAGTAATGAAGTAGGAAGCAGGGCAAGTCAGGAATGAAACATGAAGTGCTGCACAGGCTTAAATAAAAGCCATCTTAGCTGAATGAGCATGGAAGTAAGTGTCTGTTTAGCTAATGCTAACGAAGGTAAAAATGCATGAAGAAAGCTAACCTAGTTTTTACGTCATTATCTGTTTGCTCGCAGTGAGTGTGTGTTTGTGCAAGTGTGTGTACAGCGTGTGAGGGGACTGATAAAATATTCCTTCCCTTGGTTGGCCCCGGGGCATTTCAACTGCCCCTGGCTCCTTCCAGTCACTGGCCTGCTCCCTAATTGCCACACACACACACACCCACATACACACACATGCACACACACACATGCAGACACACACATCCACACACATGCACACACTCGACATTCAGAGCTTCTGTGGCTGGAAACACATGCATAAAGAAAGAGAGAGATAAACACATATACAGACCAATGCACACCCATGCATGCATGCAGTCTTCACACACGAACATGCGCCCCTGCCGCCCTGCATTGATTCACACCCCCCTCCAACTAGTTGCAAAGATGTTGTCATGGCCGATCAGGGGGCCAGGCCCAGAGTTGTGCCTGTGGCTTCTCCTCGTGGGGAGACTGGAGCTTGCTAGCCTAGCTGCCCCACGCTGTATGTATGCAGCCCAGGGTTACAGCCTGCTGACGCTCCTAATGAGCCTGGCAGCCTGTTTATGGAGAGTGACGACTGCTTCATTGGCTGCCTGGCTAGCTTTCTGAGTGACTAGCTAACCGGCTGACTGACAGGCTGCTCTATGGATGGCTGACTGACTTGGTGGCTTTATAGACTGATGCTTACTGGCTGACTTGATAGTTTACTAGCTGACTGAGTGGACTTCAGAGTGGTCAGTGCCTGACTGACTAACTGAAGAGAGTATTGGCTGAATGATGACGTCACTGATTACACTCAACCAGATACCTTAAAAAAACAGCTGGATTTTAAGCATTGAGATCCACTCTGACTCCACAAAAGAGTACACAATGTTTATATCTGGTCTATTGTGTACACTCAAGAAGCTTTCGCCATCAGCTTTAAGGACAATAGACACCAGTGGTGTAAAGTTGCGAAGTTTAAATGGCATGCGGCAACTCTCCAGAAAATCTCAAAAAAACTCCACAGATTGTTAGATACCAGCAACTTTAAATCTTCTGTCTGTATGGCAAATGTATTTTGTGCTACAGGCGTCAATTATTCAATTGGTTGTCCTTTTCTCTGTGTTATAAAATGTCAGTTTGCCAAGACAGAGAAAATGATCTGCTTGTCCTTACTGACTGTCCTGCGTATGATTTTTTTCAATTGATTGACTAATGTGCCACAGAGCATCTCCTCCATCTCCTATCCATTATTTTCTCCCACCTCAGTGGCTTTAGTTTGATCATTTCTTTCATTTTCCTGCTCTCACTAAATATTCCACATCCGTTCCTCCTCTCCTTCTCTTCTTACCTTTCTTCCCCTTCTCTCGTTCCCTTTCTCTCCCTGTTTTACCGTTCTTCCCTCTCTCTCACAAGCTGAAGTAACACCATTGACATTTCCCCAACATGGCTGCCAGACACAGCTTCAACACCTTCCCTTTCTTCACCCTCTCCCAGAGTCTTTCTCTTTTCTCTCTCCCCCCGCCCCCCTATTCCCTCGCTTGCTGGAGTTAAAGCAAAGCAGAAATTAGCCCCAGACCTTGCAGAGGTGATTGGTATCAAATTGCAGTGAAAATGGAAATGCCAATAAAATTGACGGCCCTTCTCCTCCTTCCTTTTCCCCTCCGAGGTAAAGTGAGTGTCTTTAGGTCAGACTTTCTCAGAAGTATTGGGGAAGGAGAGGGATACTTGGAGCTTTTAGGGTTTCCCTGTCTGGCTTAGGGCTTGGATTATGCATGATTGAAATGGTCAGACTTTGCCTGAAATCTTTTAAATCGCAGACGGCTCAATGGCGGCTTTCTTATTCTGATTTTTTCTCATATGAGTTGAGGAGATTTTACGTTTGTTGGATATAAACACCAGTAATGTTTCTGTGTTTTTCCCAAGGCTCATGTGATTGTAGAGATTTAATGCAATCGACTCTCACATTATGCAGCATTTTGATATTTGATTAATTATTGATTAGCTATGGTTATTTAATATGCTGTAGGGTCATGAATAAGAATCCTGTACTTGTATCTTACATACAATTTAATCCAGCCTATATCAACAGATATGATGTATTACTGTGATGAAAAAGTACAGTATGATATTATACTATATGGCTCAGTGGTTGCCGAGCAAGCTTGTGACTGCAGGTTTGATTACCAGACTGGAAAGAACACCTGGAAATAGAGCATTGTACTTACTTGTAGAATACCATAATACAAGAAATAAAAACATATGCAGCAAAATATAACAAGTGCTACTTTATACAATATTATACAATCCTTTGTGTTTTCCCTCTTCCTTGTTTCCTCTTCTCCCTTTCCCCTTCTCTCCATGCTTCTCACGATTTCTCACCTCTCCCTGAGCCTCCCTGCTCCCACTCTCTCCTACTAGCTGTCTTGCATGCATACTTCCTCACGCTCTCACTCATTCCCTCACTCTCTCATTGACTCACTCACTCCGGCCGTTTGCTTCTGTTTCCTCAACTCACATGGGACAAGCCCCTAGGTTTGTTATTGTAGGCTTTGCTGAACATGAGCCGGTCTTTACAACGGATTGAAAGCATTTGCTTCCAATGAAAATCTGGTCTTAGATTACAGGGCCTCGGCTCTGCTCACCCTGCTTCTCCAACAGGCGGAGAGGAAAAGAGAGGGACGGAGGGGAGGGTGTATATTAGCCCTGAAACAGTAGGCAGAAGTAAGCCACTTGTTAAGCTCAGGCTGCGTTTGTCCTGGGCTAATGATGTAACTGAAGCCGGCAATGTGAGTGTGTTTTTAGACAGAGAGAGGTCTAGAAGCGGGGTATAAGGGAGGACATTGTCCTGAGTGTTTTTGGGCGCTGGATTAGTAAAATGACAACTATTGATTATTGTTTAAAGGTGGGGTATGTAATTTATTTCACACTTTCTGTTATATTCCATGGAATGTTCTTAACATCCCGATAGCAATGAATATATTAAATGCTTTGACAATAAATACATACAAAAATGTCATCTGTGGAAGCCGTGGCGCTGTAAAAAGCACGACCAATCATCTGAGCCGGCCCGGCTAAAATAACTGGATGGCCTACCTGCCTGTCAGCCGTCCATCTCGTGCACAAACTTATCTCGTGCCCTCATTGGTCATGTGCGCGTTCGTGTGTGTTGGAGGAGAGGCTCAGTAAGGAAGTCTGAAGGAAGGACCAGATTTTTTTCGGCTGCGTAGTTTCAAATTCTAGCGCACTC